ATAAATGTCTATCAGGGATGGTCTAGACAGTATTTGGTCCTGCCATGAGGGCAGGGGACTGGACTCGATGACCTCTCGAGGTCCCTTCCAGTCCTAGAATCTATGAATCTATGAATTGAGCCCAGAGACATTGAGCCAGAACCTCATCAGTATTAAACCCTTGATGTCAATGGAGCTACTCTTCATTGGCACAGGTGTAGCTAAGATGGGAATCTCACCCTTACATCTCTGTCCCATTCGCTTTCTCCAGGCTGCCTTTAGCAACATTTGGATCCCTGTGTATATTGGCTGCTGGCCAAGTCCTGACCCCTTTGAAGTGAGTGGCTTTAGCCCATTGACTTTAATGGGATCCAAATATGGCCTCATTATCCAGAGTCAGTTCTTCTGTAGGAAACACTGGAATAATTTTCTCTTCAAAAGGGCCTTCCCACCATAGCAAGAATGACACAGATGTTATTTATTTATTTACATTTACATTAATAAAAAAAGAAGCCTATCTCAGGCTCTAGGCATGTTAAAATTAGTCATTTCAACAGGAACTCAATCATCCAGATAGCTACAGAAACTCTTTTCCATCCCTTCATCTTTGTGGGAAGCAAACCTTTACCTCTCTCAGAAAACCCAGACAAAGAGATAACACATTGCCCTCCTGAATACATGACAAATTACTGAAACCCCCAATCATCCCCCCCCCCAAAAAAAACAAACCAAAATCCTAAAACCAAATTGACCAACTGATAAAACAAAACAATAGCCAGATGAGCTAGCCGTTACAATCTGGTCCGGTACCCAGTTGTACAGCCACTCATCTAATGAAAGTGGACCCAATCACTGGGTGCCATGTACTTCCAAGGTAACTGCATATGGGTAGAGTCTCGTCATTGTTTCTAGCTCTGGGGCTCTAGGAACCATTCCCCAGCTCAGACCTCTGATCTAATGCCCTTCCTTTGGCAGTGGGAGGCCACTGTCCAGCTGCCTTAGAGCTCAAAACCAGTGTCTGTGTTTCCCCAAGCCCCCAGGTCGCTTACACACACTCTGCCAGAGCTTCACCTAGGCTATGATCACTCTGGGATCCTGGTTGAACCCCTTTAAGAAGAATGTGACAGGAAGGCGAGAAACACAGGTTTAGTCTTTCCTATGTGTGAGCATGGTCGGCCCCTCTCTGCACAGAACAGAACAGCACTGTTCAGTAGGCCCCCGTCTCTGTGCCAGGGGTTCAAACTGTGAAGTTCCATCTCCGACATTCATGCCTGTGGGCCCCCTGTATAGAAAAATTGTTTTTCCCAGAGGGTGGGCAAGTAGTCCAAGGACAAGAAAACTCGATGGCCCCAGACTCTAGACTTGATGGCTCTCAATGAGGTCCTCCAAGGAGGTATCAAACACCTTTCCCAGGCAGGACAGCTGTCTGGAAAGCAGCACAACAGGCTGCCATTGAGCCAGGCCAGACTTGTGCTGTCACCGTGCCAATATTTCTACACATACTACAATAGAGTTCACAGTTTGACACCATCATACCCCACTCTGTTACACAAGCAAACAATTAGCCAAAAGCTATGGCACCCCAAGAAAAGTTTATGCCCTTCCCCCCCCCCAAAGACACAGAGACTTAATGAGGTCCACTGGGGACTTGATTATTCATTTGAGGTGGAAGGTGCTCAGATAGTGTGGTGATGGGTGGCAGTAGAAAAATCATGATAGATAGATAGGTAGATTCTCATCTTATTTACACTGGGGTAAATCTACAGGAACTCCACTGACTTAAGTGGTGTTTGTCTGCATTTTTACCTGTCTAAATACACCTTTCTGCATAAGCAAATGGCAAAGCATGTTCTCATAGAGACAATAATGTCATCAGAGGGTTACATTTATAAAGAAAGAGGATGAAATCACAATCAAAGGGAAAACATGGACAGTTTATTTTTGGTGAATAACCTCCACGCAATCAGTTTCCTCAATGCAGCTTTGATCTCCTTGTTCCTCATGCTGTAGATGATCAGATTCATCACTGCTGGCAGCACGGAATAGAGAACAGCCACCACGAGATCCAGACCTGAAGTTGAGCTGGAGGTGGGATGATTGTAGGCAAAGTTAGCAGTGCAAAAGAACAAGGACACCACGGTGAGGTGAGGGAGGCAGGTGGAGAAGGCTTTATGCCGGCCCTGCTCAGCGGGGATTCTCAGCACCATGGTAAAGATGTGAACATATGACACAATTATTAAAACAAAGCAGCTTGAGGCTAAGCACACACTAAAGGCAATAGCCCCAGTTTCACTGAGGTATGTGTCCGAGCAGGCGAGCTTGAGGAGCTGGGGGATTTCACAGAAGAACTGATCCACCATATTGCCTCCACAGAAGGTTATTGCAAATGTGTTCCCAGTGTGGAGTGCAGAGTAGAGAAAAACACTGATCCAGACACCAGCTGCCATTTGGATACAAGCTCTTCTGTTCATCACTCTCTCATAGTGCAGGGGTTGGCAGATGGCGACGTATCGGTCGTACGCCATGACGGTCAATAAAGCAAGATCTGCTGAAACAAAAAAGACAAAGAGAAAAACTTGGACGACACATCCAGAATAAGAAATTGACCTGATGTTCATGAGGGAATTGGCCATGGATTTGGGGACAGTGACAGAGATG